ATTTTGAATCCCTCTTGTGGGCAGGTAAAGGGTTAGATTTATAAAAAAAACCAAATGATAGATAAAGACATGCATCTAAATAAAAAAAAATATACTGATTTGGTCATTTTTGATAAAATTATAACAGTTAACAAAGTTATAAGTTTTATACATTGTACTACAAGGAACTTTCATCAGAAACAAAAACATAATATTCTAAATCAACTTTTCGCGATGTTTTCAAATTTGCAATTAGACTTTTTCTATCACTTCTAAGTTTTAATATTATTAAAAAATAGTATTTACATATAAAAAGAAATAATTAAGAACAAAAAAAATTGTTTTAAATTAATACTGATTTTGATTATTAATAAGTTAAAAATAAGGAAAATGACATATTTCACCTATTTTTTTAATCGTTTAAAGTTGATTGTTGTAAATGTTTATAATAAAAAAAAAAAAATTTATTTTACCATAACTTTTAGCTCAATTGGTAAGTTTGACATTGACATCATTAAATAGAAAATTTTATGACAATTAAAAAAATTGTATCGTTAAGATCAATATGCAGTCAGAAAGTTTTATAATTACTATTTATTGTAAATTTATCAGAAAAGCTCATTATTTTTTGCATTTTTATCGTAATAGAACACTTAAATAGAAATCATAGTAATCATTTCTAAGTAATTTTTGATATTTAAAAAGATTCTACTATTGAAATATCCAGAACTGAATTAATTTTAATGATTTACTTTAACTAAAAAAAAAAAAGTTAATATTTTGAATCCCTCTTGTGGGCAGGTAAAGGGTTAGATTTATAAAAAAAACCAAATGATAGATAAAGACATGCATCTAAATAAAAAAAAATATACTGATTTGGTCATTTTTGATAAAGTTATAACAATTAACAAAGTTATAAGTTTTATACACTGGACTACAAGGAACTTCCATCAGAAACAAAAATATACTATTCTAAATCAACTTTTCGCGATGTTTTAAAATGTGCAATTAGACTTTTTCTATAACTTCTAAGTTTTAATATTATTAAAAAATAGTTTTTACATATAAAAAAAAATAATTAAGAACAAAAAAAATTGTTTTAAATTAATACTGATTTGATATAATATTTAATATTAATTTGATTATTAATAAGTTAAAAATAAGGAAAATGACATATTTAACCAATTTTGTTAATCGTTTAAAGTTGATTGTTGTAAATGTTTATAATAAAAAAAAAAAATTTATTTTACCATAACTTTTAGCTCAATTGGTAAGTTTGACATTGACATAATTAAATAGAAAATTTTATGACAATTAAAAAAATTGTATCGTTAAGATCAATATGCACTCAGAAAGTTTTAAAATTACTATTTATAGTAAATTTATCAAAATGGCTCAATATTTTTTTGCATTTTTATGGTAATAGATAACTTAAATAGAAGTAATAGTAATAATTATCTAGTAACTTTTGTTGTTTGTAGAAAAGATTCTACAATTGAAATATTGAGAACTTAATTAATTTTAATGATTTACTTTAACTAAATGTACCAATCAAAACAAAGTTGTTAAAAAGATTTACTCAATTGAGTTTATTATAAAATTTGATTATATTTGTAAAAATCAATTGTTAATTCAGGAGAAAAAACAATCATTTTTTTTAGAAATGATTTATATAGCAACACGTTAGAAAAAAATTTGAATATTATAGTCTAATAGTAGCACACACAAACAGAGTAATAAAATTATTAAATTACAAAGTAAAATGATTTAATTTTGTAGTTGAAACCTATCATATCAAACTTCATTCGTTAATAAATATTTTGAAAACATTAGAAATGAATGATTTTAATTGTCTTTATGGAGAACAAGGAATAACTAACTGTTTAATTGATAAATTTAAATTTTTTTTCAATTTTTGAGGGTAATATCTTCAACTAGATACGAATTGTAGTAATTTGACGTATCGTTGAAAAAAGTAGGTCAAGTTAGAGCAGAGAAAATAAATGATAGTCACAAAAAAATATCTTCTCGGCTTTGCATCGAAGCGAAAACTTAAAATATAGTAAAATAATTTTAATACGAATAAGAAATTTCTTCTTGCAAGGGGCGACTAAAGTGATGGGATCCTTGATCTTTATTGAAGTTATTGAATCTAAATGTATAAAAATCAAACAAGTTAAAAATTTATACTAACTTAAAAAAAATTAAGAAAAAATGCAAAAAATTCATTGCCATACGCGGGTTGGAACTTCGTACCCCAAGCGTGTAAAACATAAGTTTCACCAAGTCGGCAACCGTACGTCGATACTGTCGATACTGAAAAAATTGGCTATTTAAGCTAGTTCAAATTTCAAAGTTATTTTTCTCGACTTAAAAGAAACAAACAAATTTAAATAAGTTTAACTATCTATACTATATCAATTTTAATTTATATAATATTTATGAAAATCTGTACTCCCCTTGTCAGGTATTTTAAAATAAAATAAAATACAAAACCCAGAATTTTAACACAAAAATAGCATATTTTTGCATACGGTAGTCATTTTTACCATGAAGACAAATCCAGAGGTCAAATTTTTTTTTTTCACATTAAAGTATATTACATAAGCTTTAATTTAAGATATATTTAAAAGTGTCAGTATTTCCGGAATACTTTCAAAAATTAAATTGAAAATATCGTAGTAACAATACGCATGTTTAAAGTTTTGACCCCCCTTGTTAAAGGGGTATGATCCGATTTACAAAAAAAGCGTGCCAGATGAAAGGGGTATATAAATATTTATTATAAAAAAATAATAATATTGATCCATACATTTTTCCAAAAGTTATATAAAATATAAATTAAATAATATAACATATAAAATCGAGATTTTTTTCACGGAAATCGTACGTTTTTCTTTAACTTTGATGTCCGTTTTCACCACGAAGACAAGTCCAGAGGTCAAATTTTTTTTTTTCAAATTAAAGTATATTACATAAGCTTTAATTTAAGATATATATAAAAGTGTCAGTCTTTCCGGAACATTTTCAAAAGTTAAGTTGAAAAAGTTCTACTTTCTATACGCATTTTAAAAGGTTTGCACCCCCCCTGTATAAAGGGAAATGGTCCGATTTTAAAAAAAAGTATGTCGAATGAAAGAAGTATATATAAAGTATTTATCATTAAAGAATAAAGTTGATTCATGCATTTTTTAAAAAGTTATAGCAACATAATGTTAAAAAATGTAAAATATAATATCAAGAATTTTTTCACAAAAATAGCATATTTTTGCATACGGTAGTCATTTTCACCATGAAGACAAGTCCAGAGGTCAAATTTTTTTTTTTCAAATTAAAGTATATTACATTAGATTTAATTTAAAATATATATAAAAGTTTCAGTCTTTCCGGAACATTTTCAAAAGTTATGTTGAAAAAAAAAAATTTTTTGTGAAAAAGTTGTCATTTTGAATCCCCTTCTGTGGGCAAAGGGAAAGGGTTAAATTTATAAAAAAAATATATAAAATGATAGGTAAATATCTAAGGTATCTATAAAAAAAAAAATTATATTGATTTGGTCATTTTTAAAAAAGTTATGGCAATTTTAAGTNTAATCATTTTTAAAAAAGTTATGGCAATTTTAAGTAAAAAAAAATGAAAAAATATCGAAAATTAGCGATTTTTAAATTTGTAATTTTTTGGGGGATTTCCCCCGTT